GCCCCAGATCGAGGGAGATTATCAGTGGTCTTGTATGTCTTCCATTTTCTAATTATTGCTCCCACAGTTGATTTGTTCACACCAAGCTGCTTGCCTATTGCAGATTCAGTCTTCCCAGCCTGGTGCAGGTCTACAATTTTTGTTTCTGGTGTCCTTCGACAGCTCTTTGGTCTTCACCATAGTGGAGTTTGGAGTGTGACTGTTTGAGGTTGTAGACAGGTGTCTTTTATACTGATAACAAGTTCAAACAGGTGTCATTGATACAGGTAATGAGTGCAGGACAGAGGAGCCTCTTAAAGAAGAAGGTACAGGTCGGTGGGAACCAGAAATCTTGCTTGTTTGTAGGTGACCAAATACTTATTTTCTACCATAATTTGCAAATAAATTCTTTCCAAATCAGCCAATGTGATTGTCTGGATTTTTTTTTCTCACTTTGTCTCTCATAGTTGAGGTCTACCTATGATGCCAATTACAGGCCTCTCTCATCTTTTTAAGTGGGAGAACTTGCAGAATTGGTGGCTGACTAAATACTTTTTTGCCCCGCTGTATGTGTATATGTATATATATATATATATATATATATATATATATATATATATATATATATATATATATATATATATATATATATATATAATTTTTTGTATTTTTTTCCAAAAAATATATATTTATTTTTAAAAACTGCACATTTCGGCTTCGGTTTTCGACCAAGTGTATTTTGAATTTTTGGTTTCGGCACCAGAATTTTAATTTCAGTGCACCACTAGTAGACCTATTGCAAAAATTGATGTGGGGCAACTTACCAAACAGTTCATGTATAACTCATAAGTGACACATGGTATGCGAGATAACGATTTAATTGTGGTACACTTTAGTTGGACAATAAGATCTCATAAAGGCCCAGACAAAATGGCGATTCTCATGGTTATTGGAGGGCCACATAAGCTGGATAGGGCAATAAAATAACAGATTGTAAAACTTCATCAGCATACACTGAGATTGGACAAAAATATCCAAAAGGCAAACAAAAAATTCTATGAAGATTGAATGGGAAGGGATGTACCTTTTTAAAAGGTGAATTAGGCACCAATACTTGTATAAGCAGTTACATTGGGTTTAATAGTATTACAAAGGAAAAACCGAGAAACACATCCTAGACTGGGTCATGCAATATAAAAACTGAAATATTAAGAACCTCTGTTGCTGCAATTGACATGGTGCACAAAATATACATGTAGTATGAAATGAGAGCTTACCTCTATCAAAACAATTTAATCACTAAGGGGAAGCTGGCACCAATCGAATGCTCATTTGGCAAAGAGACCAACCCTCAAAGGAGGAAACACATACTATTAAACAAAAGTTACAGTAGATTGATTTTTTTTTTTTTTATATATATATATTTCAGTTTACCAGTCCTTAGGTGAGGTGTCTGAATAAAGCAGCCCATACACTGGCTATTTTTTTTTTCTTTCAACCAGTTGGTTGAACAAAAGAAAATGATCTGATTCCCTCATCCATACATTCAAGGTGGATGGGGGAATAATTTTTTTTTTTATTGTATTCTGTCTTTTCATTTTTTTTACTTCCCTCCACCTAAAAGATTTCAGTTTGTTGTTCAACTGAGATGTACAGTTTATAGGTTACACTAGGGTGGGAAAAGTTCTGAAATGATTTGTCTTTATCTTTTTTTTACATCACAGAAACCTGACCTTTTAACAGGAGTGTGTAGACTTTTTATATCCACTGTATGTGGCAAATGAGGTTTAATGTTGATAAATGTAAGGCCCTGCACTTGGGGGCTAAGAATATGCATGCATCATACATACTAGGGGGGTACAACTGGGGGAATCAATGGTGGAGAAGGATCTGGGAGTTCTGGTAGATCACAAGCTTAATAATGGCATGCAATGCCAAGCTGTGGTTTCTAAAGCGAGCAAAATCCTCTCTTGTATTGAAAGAGGTATAGACTCCAGAGAGAGAGAGATATCATATTACCCCAGAGCAGATCATTAGTAAGACCTCATCTGGAATGTGCAGTTCAGTTTTGGGCACCAATTCATAAAAAGAACATTGGGGAACTGGAGAAAGTACAGAGAAGGGCAACCAAACTGACAAGAGGCATGGAGGAGATCAGCTATGAGGAAAGATTAGAGGAACTGATTTTTTTTTTCTCTCTCTTGGGAAGAGGAGATTAAGGGGAATATGATCAACATGTATAAATACATCAGTGGTTCATACAGTAAACTTGGTGTAGAGCTATTCACCCTGAGGGCATCACAGAGGACAAGGGGGCACTCTACATTTGGAGGAAAAGAGATTTAATCTCCAAATACGGAAAGGCTTTTTCACAGGAGAGCTAAAAATGTGGAATAGACTCCCTCAAAAGCGTTCTGGGCAGTTCAGTAGATTTAAAAGGCCTGGATTCTTTCTTAGATACACAGAATATAACTGGATACAAATATTTATAGGTAAAGTTGATCTAGGGAATATCTGATTGCCTCTTGGGGGTTCAGGAAGAATTTTTTTCCACTGCTGGAACAAATTGGATCATGCTTTATTGGTTTTTTTTAACATTTACTGTGGGTATAAGAATGTATGTATGAATGTATTTTTATTTTTTTTTTATTCGTTGACCAATGTGTCTTTTTTTCAGCCACACTAATTATGTATAGTTGTTCCTCCATGAGGAGAAGTCAATACTGGTTGTAATATAGATCTGTGAAGTCACAGTTTTCCTCTTAGTCCATCCAAGTTTTATCCAGTTTTGAACCCTGATGAAGGGGGAGTGGTATTGCCCTCAGATGATTTTATAAGCCTTTTTTTATCAACAATTAAACTTATCTTGGACTCTTATCCAGTGTTTGTCTGGTGCCCCTTTTTGTATTTCTATGGACTTCAAAAGGTCTGTCGTCGTTCATTACATTATGGGATAAGCTATTTACAGGACAAAAATTAGATTTTGTTCTTCTTTCTGTTATACTTACAGGAGTGGTTAAGAACTTTATATTTTTGGCAAGAGCAACAGGTATTTTTATGTACTTGCTGAAAATGTTCTGACTTGAAAGGATAATACTAATGCAAGCACTGCAGCTGCAGTAAGCCATGATTTATTACATTGTTTTTAGGTTTAGTTATCCTTTATGTCAGGCTTCAATGGAAATATGCTTCTTTACACATGCTTTGCTCTCTTAAAAGTGATTTCCCATTCGGATCGTATTTCAGACAGCATTAGACAAGCAATGACAAGGCTTTGTATTGTCTACTCACTGCCTGCTTTAACCCCTAAATACCACAAAACCACGCCGCAACCATGTTATTGCAGCATATTCCCATTCACTTTAATAGGTCACACTTGTCGGTTGGTACCACCTGCTGAGAGTTACGGTATTCCTGTAGTGGCCTGTGTACACTCCTGACCTCTGCCCATGCACAAAAGGGGTGATTTAGGGGCGGTAAAAAACACTAGTTGTAAGTGTAAACAAGCCGTAAAAGAAAATCGTAGAATACTAATGCTGACTACCCGGGCTAGGTGCCTGGCTGTATCTAATTATATTATTGATTTAGGAACTATCCTGGAAAAAGTATGCAGCCAGTGAAATAGGAACTCCTGATCTGCATAATTGTTCCAGGTCAGTCAATCAAAAAGTATTAGAATTAGTATGACTGACAAGGAGCTAGTATTTCTAGGAAAAGTCAGCAATGAAGGCATACATATATCTCTCAGTATTGATTATCTGGATATATGTTTTCATTTCCTTAGCCATGTATGAACAGCCTATCCACGGATTGTGATAGATAATGATCACATGCGCTTAGGATACACCAATAGTGCACACTCAATATAAAACAAAAACTGGGCTGCTGCTCCTATAAAAGGTACAACCTTCTCGATATAATACACAAAATAACAGGAGCGCTGCCTCAATGTATGTTATAATGACATGAAAAGCATTCTTAAATAATGAACATATAACAATAAGTTGTGAAATAAAGTCCTAAATGTGAAATCAAGTGAACAAAAATCCCTTTCACATCCAGAAGGTGATAAGTGCTCTGTGCTCCCCCGCCTGTGTGCCCCCTCACTCACCAACTTTAATGGACTCTTATGGTGAAAAGAGTCTTTCACGCTTTTGGTGGGGCATAGAAAGTCATGCTGGAGCTTGTAGTCCTCCTGATTAAAATGTTGCTTGTCATTCCCAGTGATTCAAATGTAAGTCATGCTGGAGCTTGTAGTCCTCCTAATTAAATGTTGCTTGTCATTCCCAGTGATGTAGAGCCGATAGATATATGCAATATCCGTGTGTCTGCTTTTACTAATAAATGGAATTACACTATTTTGAATGCCTCTCTCCGTTCCCTACATGTGTATATATATATCAGCTTGAATCACTGGGAATGACCAGCAACATTTAATCAGGAGAACTACAAGCTCCAGCATGACTTCCTACATTTGAATCACTGGGAATGACGAGCAACATTTTAATCAGGCGGACTACAAGCTCCAGCATGACTTCCTATGCCCCACCAAAAGCGTGAAATACTCTTCATTCACCATAAGAGTCCATTAAAGTTGGTGAGTGAGGGGGCACACAGGCGGGGAGCACAGAGCACTTATCAACTTCTGGATGTGAAAGGGATTTTTGTTCACTTGATTTCATATTTAGGACTTTATTTCACAACTGTTTATTATTTAATCATGCTTTTCATGTCATATAACATACATTGAGGCAGCGCTCCTGCTATTTTGCGTATTATATCCACAGATTGTATCATATGCACTGTAATGTGAATAGGCATGATGCTTCAGTTGGGTTTTTCATTTGAACGTCATTGTCAGAATGACCGCAGGTAAAGTATGCACAGCTTCATCCAGTCCCATGAGGGAGAATGGGGTCTTGGTTAGCCTTCTTTTAGGGCAGTTGTGTTTTTGGTGTCATTTGTTCTTGCAGTTTTTTAATACTAACTTGCATAACTCTTTATGATGTGTTTTTCTGCAGAACAATACTCGTTACCCTGGAATGGACATTAATATTACTGGTGTGTGGGAAAGAAATGTTACTGGCCATGGAGTCACTGTGGTGGTTGTTGATGATGGTGTCCAATACACAAACCAGGACATTCAGTCAAATTATGTGAGAATTTTCAGCTGACAATTCTTTATGATGTAGGACAATAACAGCATAACAATTAAATAGAGTATATGTAATGAAAAATCATAACTGAAACACTCTCTTCTCCAGAGTCCGGAAGGTAGCTATGACCTCAACTCCAATGATCCAGACCCAATGCCTCATCCTGACAAATTTAGTGACAACCATCACGGAACCCGCTGTGCAGGGGAAATTGCAGCAGTGCCCAACAATAATTTCTGTGCAGTTGGTGTGGCCTATGGAAGCAAAATTGCAGGTTTGTCAGTATAAACAATGTGTAAAATTGGCTTCGATGCATGGCTTATCTAAATTTTACTCTCTGCACAAGGCTTACTTCTGCAGGCCAAGACAGGACAAATTTCCCATTTTATCTGTGTTACTTGTTCATCCTCCCTGCAGATGTGGGTACTACTGATGATCTTAGCCATTGTAATGAAGATGAAAAAGCAACAATAATAGCCGTGTGATACACCCCATGATGGACAATAATGTGTGAATTCAGGCAGAGGATGTCCGACCTGAAAGAATCTGAAAAAGGCATTGCCATCTCTGCCTTGGATGTTTAAAAACCTTTACTCTGCATTGTAAGGTCGGATTGTACAAGATGGCAAAAGCTACTGAGAAATGTTTATATAAAGGCTGCACTGCACCTTAAAAGAGAAGTGTGGACTCCCCCTGCCTGCACCCCCCCCTTTTCATCATTTATACCTACCTAGGTGGATGCAGCATCGGTCTGATACTGCATCTGTCCCCCGCTGGCTCTAAGTGCGAGAACTTGACAATTACTTGACCACTGATTGCTGAGTTCTCACAGCTGCTCTGAGCAGAGAGTGGTGACTGTCAGTCTGCTCTGGTGACTGACTGCTATGGTTTAATTTCTGTGCACTAGAAGATCTTCCTTGGTTATTGAGACAGTTTTCATAACTGGGAGCTCTCCTAACAGTTGCTGAATATCTGTTAATGTTATGACCCCTGTCTCAGCATCTACATATGTTTCCTCTTTTTTTATTACTTTTTATACTGATTTATTTATTTATTTCAGGAATCAGAGTTCTCGACGGCCCTCTCACCGACAGCATGGAGGCAATTGCTTTCAACAAACACTATCAGATCAATGATATCTACAGTTGCAGGTGATAAAACCGTACATCTACTATAGCCGTTGATCAAACGGATGACGTTGACATAGTTTTTGGTTCTTTTATTGTCTTTGATGCTCTTTGATTTGCAGACTTTTTATTGGTGATCATCAGATTTTGAATACGACCAACTATTAAATGCACTGGGTCCCACAGAGAGTGAAAAAGTTATATATTTTTTAATTTTGTTAGTGCATATAGTATTTGGTCATGTTCAAATCCATTCCTTCGTTCCCAAGCAGCATGGTCAAACAAGTTTCCCCCATGTCCAATGCTGCTAGAAAGGAGATGAGTTTGTGATTGACAGCTATGGTCTCTGGCAGAATGGGATGCTCCAGAGACCATTGCTGCCATTCACAAACACAGATCACACAGCCGGCAGCACTTTTGTGTCTATCAGTTCTTTTAAACGTACACAGCCCTGTGAATAGTTGGATCGCTCGTTCCTAAATAGTGAAAGCTGACACAGTGCTGCAATGCTTTATGATCCATCATCCAGGCTATGGATATGTACAAGCAGTCATGATAGAAACACAGAGACCCTCAGCTCTGGGTGATCTTTTACTGTTATTAAATGAGCAGCACTGTTTGTTCATTCAAAATAGTAAAAAAAAAATCACTGTGTTGCGCCTCTGTGTAATGTATCTTATTATTATTATACAGGATTTATATAGCGCCAACAGTTTGCTCAGTGCTTAACTGCGCGTATCTGCAGCTGCTCATACACACTCAGAACAGATACTTTACATTGAGCCAAACTCTCAATGATCTTTCACTATTATGAATGAACAAGCTGCAGTGATTGATTGTTGTAGTCCTAATAGTGACAGATCACTCAGCTTAGAGGGAGGCAGGGCTCTGTGCTGGCTGTACCTCCCTCTACAGGAACACTCACAATTTGGTCTTCAAAATGGGGTGCAGCTACAGCCAGCATATACAGGTGTTTTTAGAGGACAACTTGGTCCCCTGTGAAGTAAAAAAAAAAAGGTGAAAATAAATTAACAGTCCTTAACATAGCATAAAAACAAAAATGAATGATTTTTCTTCCACATGCACACTGGGTGTTTATCCTCAGTGCATTATACTCCAACATTTAGGTGCAGACAGAAGGCGCAGGCGCACCATCCAGCCCTGCTGCCCGCAACCTGTAAAACTGTGAAAGACAAAGTTGCTGCGGTTGACAATTATGCCCCCATTTTTGTTCTACAGGGTTTCTGCTTTCAGAAAATATAATGTTTGGGGATTTTAAGGAAGAATTTATATTTTTTTTTTTTTACAGTTATGTCCCCTATGTGACAAAGTGTATGTGGTACTTTTGCTCCATGTTTCTAAGTGCTTTTTAAACCTAGTTATTAGTTATGAGGTCTGACCTGCCTCCTTCCCCTTCTTCCACGGTCGTTCTGACAATGGCTGAGAAGGAGAGGGTCTATTTCTAGCTGCAGCTTGTCTTGGCAGAGCGCATTTTAGTGAGACAAGCAACGGCATGAGGATTACAGAGGTATCGGGGACGTGTCATGCTCTGCATTTCTCTTGATATTGCTTGTAAGACAAAGTATTTTGTGCAACCAGTTAAAGTAAAACTCCTGATGTGGAAATTTTACACAGAGCATGATTTTCCTAAACTTACTGAATGTGTGTGTTTTTTTTTCTTGTGTATTTATAAGCTGGGGCCCTGATGATGATGGGAAGACTGTTGATGGACCTCATCAGCTGGGAAAGGTACTTTTTTTTTTTTTTTACCCACTCAAAAAATTTTATTACTTCTCTATGTAACCAGAAACAACCTGAAACTAAATAGAAATTGCCTCTATATGGTACAAAACAGACCTTTGTTTCAGATGATATTCAGGTTCTAATTTTGTGGCCCCTCCTAACCAACATTTCTCTTTTAGAATCTACTGCATGTATCCATTACCATAAACCTCTATAGCAATACTAGTTCCCCCTAAATGTATAGAAACCCATGCTCTCCCATGAAGTGGTTATCTCGTGTTTGTTTTTTTTTTGTTTGTTTTTTTCTACAACATCGATATGAGTGGAGTACTGAGGTTAGAATTGGGAGACTTTACAAGTGGTCAGGCTCACAGTACATTTCTTTTTTTTTTTTTCTTCAGAAGAATATTTGTAGCTGTAATATAATAATATATGGTATTGATGTCGTCTTTTTTTTTTTTTTTTCTTCCTCCCACCTTTAGGCTGCCCTGCAGCACGGAGTCATTGCTGGACGGAAAGGATTTGGAAGCATTTTTGTAGTGGCCAGTGGTAATGGAGGCCAATACAATGACAACTGTAATTATGATGGATATGCCAACTCTATTTATACTGTCACTATAGGTAAATTAAGTATATTTATTACCTCCAAGGGAAGCTACATTAGTTTTGGGTCAGTTTTATTTGTTTTTTAAATTCATGTTTTTAAAGTGACGTTTTATCGTTTTTTACTATGTATATTCTATTTATGTTGTCAAACATTTTATACATGACAATGTATTCTCAAAGTGCTCGGCAATAATGGCTTGCCTTCGGGCTCACACTGTCTCATTTAAACCTCAGATAGAGGGGGGAAGAGAAGGAGGAGCCATTGCCCTGAGTCATTTAACAGTGTAAAAAAAAAATTCATCTTGAGCTATTGGGCTCTGTAAACAGACTTTTTCCAACAGGAGATGGGGAGAGCCTGGAAAAAAACTTATAGCTCCTCCTTTCTGGGAGCAAGTATACAGTACATTTATATGTTATATTTCATATTTACCTGACCAAATGCATTTTTTAGTCCTGCTTATATAAAGTGAAACCATATGTAAAACAACACTATACATTTACTTAAAATGTTTGTTAGCAGAGTGTGCGATTAGTGCAGCATGTTTATGTGGCAAGACCTTCAATACACAATAAAAATAAGTTAAAGATAATAGTAATGCATTCTCCTTTTTGTCCCAGACCTAACTTACTCACCCTCCTCCTCCATAGATGCATATTTACCTTGGTTCAACGGCCACATATAGCAATGTAAGTCCTTTATTGGACCATCTCCAATCATCTCTGGCAAGGAGCAGGGCCCTCCTAACCCTCTTGTATTGAACTGTATTGTCTCCCTTTATATTGTAAAGCGCTGAGCAAACTGTTGGCACTATATAAATCCTGTGTTGTTATTATGATAATAAAGAATCAAAGTCTTCGAAGGACTATATTGCAGGTGCGGCCAAGGCAGTGAAGCCTTGCACCGCTGAATGTAAACAAACAGCGGAACCTCAGTCTTTTGTTTTTAGATAACACTTGTCCTTTAGATAAAACAACATTGTTAAGTAGTGGTCAGCGGCCTTGCTGAAATGTTCTATGTGCAGCATAACACTGCAATAGTCTCACTCAAAAGGACCATAAAATTCTAAGTTTTTGGTGGATTTCATACGGTACCACATTAATTAGATCATACTGAAATTCTCAGATAAGTAAAGATGGACTTTTAAGGCATCATTTCTATATATATATTTTGTTATGATGAAAATATAATTTTTATTCACAGTATCAAAAATTCCTGAAAATAGTCATCTCCCAAGAGTGCTCAATAAAGGGAAAACACCCACAATACCTGGAGTTCTCAATAGTTTGCTGCAATACCACCATGATATATATTTGGTGACACACATTTGTTCAAGTGGAATTCTAGTTAAAAATGAAATCCCTTGGTTACTATGTATAAAAACTTAAATGTTTCTTATATGCAATATTGCAATTGCTGATTGATTAGAAACAGTAGTCTATTCTAGACAGTCAGCAATCCTCCTGTGCTTTGCCGACAATGGTGCCGAATGTGGCTGCTTACAGGCTGCAGGCATCATCCTGGTATTGTTTTTTTTTCAGGTGTCGATCAGCTTTCACGTAAAAGCAATCCTAGTGGCTAATTAGCTACAGGATTGCTTTTACAAGCAACGGGAGAAGATGTGCCCCCCTCCCCCGCTGCCTTGCCTTCTCGGGCAGCCCTGTGCCATCGGGGGAACCTGAGAATGCAGCCGGTGTTTCTGCCAGCTGACCATAGAGCTGATTGGAGACCGGAATGGTGCCAATCATCTCTATAGTCTAAGAAATCAGAAGCTGCGAGCATTTCATCACTTCAGTTTCACAGGATATAAACAGCGCCATTTGTAAATTGGGAAAGCATCTGATCACACCGATCTTGGTTTGATTAGATCATGTAAGGGCAGAGGAGATATCTAGAGCCTGATAGACCCCAGATTTCTCAAAAAAGAATATATGACCATGCCCTTTGAAGTTATAGGGCTTATTTGCTTTCCCTGTGATAGCATTAAAAGTGATAAAAAAAAACATGAAAGGGGCAGTGTAAAAATAATTTTAAAAAATCAAAATAACTTTAAAAAAAAAAAAAAAAAAAAAAACATCCTCGTCCCCTGCGCTCACCCATGACCCTGTGACAGTATGTAAACAGCGGTTGCACCATGTATGTGAGGTATCAGAACGTCAAGGGCAGTAATTCTAACATTAGACCTCTGTAAATCTAAAATGGTAACTTGTAAAGGCTTTTAAAGCGTTGCCTATGTGTATTAAAAATGCATGCAGTTTGTCGCCATTTGCACGGGGTATGCGCAGTTTTAAAGCATGTCATGTTTGGTATCTATTTACTTGGCATACTATATCTTTTATATTTTACCAGGTAATTGGCCAATATATTGTGTTTAGTGCATTAAAAGTAAAAAAAGTGTGTATTTTTGTAATTTGGTTTGAAAAATTGCTGCGCGAGTACAATGTGACATAAAAAATTACAACACCTACCATTTTATTCACTAGGGTGTCTTCTTTAAAAAATATATATTGTTTGGGGGTTCAAAGTAATTTCCTAGCAAAAAATACAGATTTTTTTCATGTGAACAAACAGTGTCAGAAAAGGCTTGGTCTTCAGGTGGTTAGAAGAGAGAATGATTGTGGCATAATTTTCTAATGCTGGGCATAAAATGCCCACACCCCCCAAAAGTAGACACCCCAAACTATTTGCAGAGAGGCATGTTGAGTCAATAGAATAATTTATTTTTTTTACCACAAGTTTTTGGAAAATGACGACTTTTTTTTTTTTTTTTTTTTACACAAAATTGTCACTTACATGATTTATTTCTCACACATACCATGGGTATATGTGGAATTACTCCCCAAAATAAATTCTGCTACTTCTCCCAAGTATGGGGATACCACATGTGAGAGACTTTTTGGCAGTCTAGCCAAGTACAGGACCCCTGCTATCCTGGCATTTCAGGGCCTCCAAACTGTGATAGGTAGTGAGGAAATGAAATGAGGAAGTTACGCACCTTCAGGCTTTCAAAGTGGTCATTGGATTTCAGGCTCTTGTATGTGGCTAGGCTTCCAAAAAGTCTTATGTGGTATCCCCATACTCCGTAGAAGTAGCAGAATGTATTTTGGGGTGTAATTCCACATATACCCATAGCTTGTGTGAGCAATATATCATTTAAATGACAACTTTGTGTTAAAAAAAAAAAAATCTTTTTGGCATTTTCAAAAAACTTGTGGAAATAAATAAATCTTCCATGGACACAATGTGCCTCTCAGCAGATAGCATAGGGTGTCTACTTTCCGAAAAGAGGTCATTTGGGGGTGTTTCTACTGTTCTGGTATTTTAGCACCTCAAGAAATGTGATGGGCAGTCAGAAAGTAAAAGCTGTGTAAATTCCATTATTTATAACATAGTTTGTAGATAGTATAACTTTCATACAAAGCAATCAATATATGCTTATTGGTATTTTTTGTACCAAAAACCTGTAGCAGATTTTATTTTGCACTAAACTTATGACGAAATTTGAGTTTTTTGGATATTTTTCTATGACAGAAGTGAGAAAATATCATTTTTTTTTTTTTTTTTTTTAATTTTAGGTCCTTTTTTGTTTATAGCGCGAAACGCATGATCAAAACTACCGAAAGAAAGCTCTATTTGTTTGAAAAAAAGGACATAAATGTATTGCAGACCCCGCAATACATTTTGTCCTAAATTGCAGTATGTATACCATAGTTTAACACTATAACTTTCACACAAAGCAATCAATATACTTATTGGGATTTTTTTTTTACAAAACATGTAGCAGAATACATTTTTAAATTTATAGCCTTTGAACAATAGCCAAAAGTAGAAAATATTCTTTTCTTAAAAATTTTCGGTCTTTTTTCGTGATCAAATACCACCAAAAGAAAGCTCTATTTGTGGGGGAAAAAAGGACTTAAATTTTGTTCGGTTACAGCATTGCATGACCGCGAAATTACCAGTTGAAATTGTGCAGAACCAAATAGCAAAAAGAGGCCTGGTCAGGAAGGGGGGTAAATCCTCAGGAGGGCAAGTGGTTAAAGTCTGGCTTTCCTTATCTGAGAATTTTGGCCTTGTCTAAAGGTTGATGTACACTTAAGTACTTTTTGCTGTATTTTTCAGATACAACATCACATTCACACTGTGCACAAGTGTAAGTTTTTGGTATTTGTGTATTCTAATATGTTTTTTGGTAGTCTAAATGTTTTTTGGAGTATTTAGTTCAGTCTTGTTTTAATGTATGTTTACAGGTGCTGTTAATGAAGCTGGTAAAATGCCTTTCTATGCAGAAGAGTGTGCTTCAATGTTGGCAGTGACCTTTAGCAGTGGGGACAGACAGATGAGGAGTATTGTAAGTTGTCAACTATTTTAGTACCTCCTGCTGCTTTAAATCCTGTATCCTCAAAAGGTCTAAATGACTGGGTATTTCAGCTTCTTGATTTGATCTAATTTGTGTTTTTGTTCTTACCTCTGCAAACTATAGCTAGCCATAGATGGTTGAAATCTCAGCCAGTTCATCAGGGACCAGCCAAGATTCAATCCATCTATGGGCAGACTGGTTATACTAAAGTTGATCCATCAATCGACTTCAGTACAGCCAGCCTGTAGGGTTTATCACGAATAATCACTGCTGGCGGCTATAGTAACTAGCAGTTATCATTGTATTCTGCCTGTTTTTGTTATGTTTTGCGGTTGTTTTTGATATGTGCAAAGAGAGATCACACAATTACTTATAAATAAACATTTATTACAAGCAATGGCAGATACAGATAAAGATAACGAAAATATAACAAGAATATGTAACTAAAGATGCTGTTGTCCGCCACGGGTCCTTCCATTATATGGTGTGGCTGATGATCACAACAGACGCATGCTTACCGCAAGCTCCCCCCCCCCGCCGCCTCAAGCAAACAACATCATGACCTTCTAAGGAAGGGAAAGTGAGCTGACTTGTCCATGTAGGCACATTCCTTGTTATTTAAGGTAATCAGACTTTCTCCTCATATAGCCCTTTAACCAAAGTTTTGCAGGCATTCTTAAATGTTAGTGAGCCACAATATTGAGGAAATTATTAAATTTCTCTATCACTGCCTCCAGATGATTTTTGGCTTATCAACCCTTCACAATAACAGTGATAAAGTTATAACACTTAGTAAATGTCTGTAATACCCATTATCACCACACAGGAATATCTACAGATTTACCATATAGTAGCATCATCCCTTTGCTACTACTGCCCTTTCTCACTACCTCCTGTCCTCATAGGCAAGATGGACCACCACATCCTTCTTTTTTTTTTTTTTTTTTTTTTTTTTTTTTTTTTTTTTTATTTAGAAAAGATATCTAGGCTGTTAACTTCAAAACCTTCTGTTGTGATTCACTACTACTCAACAACTGTGGGTTGCTCTTTATTTGCCATGTACTAAAGAATTGACCCCCTACTGCTTGAAAACATAAATAATTTACAAAAAACATTTTTTCAAGTTTACTGAACTTCCCAATATGCTAACTCACAGAAAGAGTAACCTCCCAAAGGAGTGAAATGTGTTGACCTTCTGTGAACTAGACAAAACAGTTTGCATATTGGATTACTCAAAAAACTTGAATAAGACTTTTTTTTTTATCGGTGAGTGGCTTCCCCTCTTTTTCTGAGTCTGCGGGTGGAATTTATGGATCAGTCAATGACCGCCAGGAGCCAGCATCCTGAGCTGGGGGGATTAAGTGGGAAGAGTAATTAAAGATTTTTTTGTCCCGTGCTCAGGATTATAAACTTTGTGTAAATTTACCAACCTGTGATAACACCATAAAATATAACATAAAAACTGTATAAACAAATAGCGTAAACCACAAAAAAATTAAGATAGTCCAGCAAAAAATGTCAAGTGGCTGCAGCTCGTATTAAGGGTGCTGACCCTCACAAATGTACAATCAAAAATATAAGAGCACTGCACTGTGTAGTCTCCTCATCATTGCAAAACAAACAGAAATCTTAAAGGACATAGTCGTGTGCTGGAGCGATTGTGGTGTAAAACCAAATCCCACCAAGCATTCACCCTATATAAATCTGTTTTCTTAACATACAAGTCCTCCCTTCATGCTGCCAAACAAGCCTACTTTGTCACTCTTATTAATACCTTCTCATCCAGTCCTCGTCATCTCTTCTCTACTTTTAACTCTCTACTTTCTCCACCTCCACCTAGTACCTCACTCACTGCTCATGAGATTGCAAATCATTTCAGAAACAAGATTGATGCAATTCGTAGGGGCATCGCTACTGCACTGACATCCATCCCACTTAGCATACCTTATACTAATCCTCCCTCAACACTTTCCTCCTTTGACCTTGCTACTACCGAAGAGGTCACTAAGGTTTTCTCAGAAGCCCGTCTCACTACCTGCCCCCTTGGATCCTGTCCCCTTGGATCCTGTCCAGTCACAACTACTATGGTCACCCTCTTCTTCCATCCTATGCTCCCTCACTCACATCTTCAATCTTTCCCTCTCTACTGGTGCCTTCCCCTCCCCTCTAAAGCATGCGCACATCACTCCCATACTTAAAAAGCCCTCCCTGGACCCCACCAACCTGAACAACTTAGGACCCATCTCCCTGCTGTCATTTACCTCTAAACTCCTAGAACGCTTAGTCTACAATCACCTGAGCTCCCACCTCACTGACAACAACCTTCTTGACCCTTTACAGTCTGGCTTTCGATCACTACACTCCACTGAAACTGCCCTACTAAAACTCACTAATGATCTACTAACTGCTAAAACCAATGGCCACTATTCCGTGCTCTTACTGCTTGACCTCTCTGTGGCTTTTGATACCATCCTTTCCTCCTCAAAAAAACTCTACTCTCTTGGCCTCAGAGACTCTGCTCTCTCCTGGTTCTCCTCCTACCTATCACAGCGTTCCTTCAGCGTTACCTATAATGCTGCCTCCTCCCCTTCACTCCCTCTTTCTGTAGGGGTCCCTCAAGGTTCTGTCCTTGGACCCCTTCTCTTCTCTATCTACACCTCCTCCTCCCTTGGTCACTTGATAAACTCCCATGGCTTTAAGTACCATCTCCATGCTGATGACACACAAATCTATCTTTCTACCCCTCACCTTACCCCTTCAGTCTCCACTCGCATTACTAACCTACTAAGTGACATATCGGCATGGATGTCACTCCACTTCCTCAAACTTAATCTTTCCAAAACTGAGCTCTTAGTATTCCCCCCCGCTCGTGCCCCCTCCCCTGACTTCTCCATCAAGATCAATAACACAATCATCAGTCCCTCCCCTCATGCCAGGGTACTAGGTGTAATCCTAGACTCTCATCTGTCCTTTCAGCCCCAAATCCAATTACTGTCCAAATCTTGTAGACTTCACCTCCGCAACATCTCCAAGATACGACCATTCCTAACCTCGGAAACCACTAAGCAACTTATTCACTCCCTTGTTATATCTCGCCTTGACTATTGTAACTTCCTCCTCATTGGCCTACCTCATCGCAGGCTATCCCCTCTTCAGTCTATCATGAATGCTGCTGCCAGACTCATCCACCTTACTAACCGTTCTGTATCTGCCACCCCTCTCTGCCATTCCCTCCACTGGCTTCCCGTTGCCCAACAGCTAAAATTCAAAACACTAATAATAACGTATAAAGCCATTTATAACTCTGCCCCAAATTACATCACTGATCTTGTCTCTAAATATCACCCTAACCGTACTCTCCGCTCCTCTCAAGACCTTCTACTCTCTAGCTCCCTTGTCTGCTCCTCCCATGCTCTTCTCCAAGACTTCTCCAGAGCTTCCCCCATCCTCTGGAACTCTCTACCCCAATTTATCAGACTATCGCCTACTCTGCTCACTTTTAGGCAATCTCTAAAAACCTATCTCTTCAGGGAAGCCTATCCTGCCCTCAGCTAATACTGGAATCTTCTACTCTTCCAACCAGTCCATCCCCCACAGTTACTACCTTTTGTACCACTAGCCCTCCAAGGAGCAGGGCCCTCAAATCCCTCTTGTATTGAACTGTATTGTTGCTGTATTGTTTCCCGTTATATTGTAAAGAGCTGAGCAAACTGTTGGCGCTATATAAATCCTGTATAATAATAATATAATAATAATAAAAATATATCTCAATAAAGTCCTTTGTAACTTGTGTGAAAGTGGTATTAATATTTTCCAAAAAGTGCTTAAGTGCTCTTCATGAAATCCTGTAATTCATGCGCTGTGCTCCCCACCAATGGTCCCAATCACTCCCCAACTTCTGTGGACTTTTATAATTCAACAAGTCAAATGTGCTTAGGTGGAAGTGACATTCTGGTTCTTCTGGGACCTGTAGTCCTCCTCCCCTGACACATTTTGCTCCTCCCACTGGGTGTGTTCAGAGAACCTCTAAAGAGTCCCTGTGGGAGGGGTGAAACGCATCAGTTGCAGAACCGTAGTGACGTCATATCCAGCGGTACTTCCTGGTTTGGTGGTTTTTAATGCTTGTTACTATTGAATCAATGTAAGTGCAATGTATACATTTTATCCTTTGGATTTTAATAAATTGTTTATCTGCAGTTTGTCAAGCACAAATATAATTGTTATGGTCAAGAAAAGATAGACTCTGCAAAAAATAAAAAATTAAGCTGAAACGGAATTAGACCAAAAAGTGCTTGCTTTTGTATTTTTGCAGGTGACTTCAGACTGGGACCTGCAGAAAGGCACAGGTTGCACAGAAGGCCACACAGGAACTTCTGCAGCAGCTCCTATTGCTGCAGGAATGATCGCTTTGATGCTGCAGGTCCGACCTTGCCTGACATGGAGAGATATCCAGCATATAATCGTATTTACTGCAACAAAGGTACAGTAAGAGTTATTTATTTACTCTTCTTTTGACTAATTCTACCGAACATTGAACTGAGGTTCCAGTGGTTTTCAATTAAATGGCAATTAAATATTCATTAAAATTGTTAATTTTATTTTGAAATGCATCTATTATAACTACCAGAATTTGCCCTAAAAATAGCTTCTTGGCAGAATGAGCGGTCATTCAAAAGTGCATTGCTGTTTCTTTGTTGTCCTTTAAGCCGGCAGAAGGTGTGTATTAGACTTAACTGTAACTTAACTGCTGTGGAGGTCTAGGACATGCCAATGCTGTCTGGTAGGATAGAATTGGGAACAGCAAATACTTCTGCCACTTTTTTTTGTTTCTGTTCATGACCCTGTTTGGGAAGAGTTCACTTTATTTCCTGTCCTTGTGACAGCAGTAAAGTAAAGGGAGCAGTTGTCACTAGAGCATGACAACACAGACTGCAAGTTTTAAACCCTTTACCATTTTACTATAAAAGTTTGTTCCATCTGTGTACATTGAGTTCCAGGAAGTAAGGGGGATACAGGGGTTCTAGCCTTTCCCCCACTGTGTCCGAAAGTAAAAAAAGACGAAGTTTGAATGAAGTTGGGTTTTAACTGAATTCTTATTAAAGCTAAACTCCATGCCAACTGCTAAATATATACAGTTGTGTTCAAAATAATAGCAGTCAGCACTCGTGAGCAGCAACCAGCATGGTTGCCTTCTAGATCTGTGCTGTGGCCGCCGGACACATCGGCCGATTTCTGCCCCTCAGGGGGGGTCCCCCTGCTCCTTCTCTGGCCCCTTGTCACCCTGGTGCCCCGATGGGCAAAAAAACGCCGGCCGCCCGTGCCTCCAGCTCCCGGCGGGCGGCGCCGGAGTTTGCGGCCTACCCGCCGGAGGTCGCGGCTGAAGCCGCGGCCTCGATTTTGGGCCCGCCACTTCCAGGACCCCGGCCGCGGATTCGCGGCTCCCGCCGGAGACCTTAAAATGGAGCCCCAGCCGCAATTTTGGGTTCCATGCCATCACCATCTGCAGGTGGGTCGGATCATGGCAGTGTGGAGGACCCGTCCCAGCAGTCTCCCATGCCATTGGAGCCATCCCAGCAGTCTCCCATGCCATCTCTGCGGAATGCTGAGCTCCTGCGCTGCTTCCAGTTTATGTTACAATCTGTATTGTCCCCCGCCACCTCCAAGCTGGCCGACCGTCTCTCACGGGAAATTCGGGAGTTGGGCAGCCGGACGAACGACCTTGAAGATAAAATGGATGCTGCGGCTACGGTCCTTGAAAATCACGAACAGGATTTATGCGACCTCAAGAAAGAATTGGCGGACACGCTGCTACGGCTTGAGGATTTTGAAAATCGTTCCCGCCGTGGCAATTTGCGGTTAAGGGGTATCCCGGAAACGGTTACGGATCTTACCTCCACTGCTACTGCTCTGTTCCAGGAGCTGACGCCCGCCATTCCCATTGACCGTCTTGAATTTGATTGCATACATCGTGCATTGGGCCCCAGACGACCGGATGGGCCCCCGAGAGACATTATCATCAAGTTCACTTATTACCGCACTGAGGAAACCATCCTCTTGGCGGCCAGAAATAAAAACCTGATCTCAGCTTTCAGGGGCATCGCTATCAGCTCTTCGCGGACCTCTCCCAGACCACCCTTCAAAAGCGCCGCCAGTTGAAGCCCTTCACTTCGGTCCTGGTGAAACATAGTATTAAATACGCCTGGGGCTTTTCGTTCCGCCTCACCTTCACCTACCAGGGCCGCAGTCACTCTGTGGCTACACCATAGGGTGGCTCACTCTCTCCTGGAATCCTTACACCTTCTTTCGCCGGAGGCTGCGGATCGGAGGCCAGTTCATTCATCTGGATTACCGGCGAGGCCGCTTCCTCCGAGCCGCATCTGGGAGCGGTTGTCCAATAGGAAGAGGGCCCTTTCTCAGACCCCTTTGCGATCAAGTCCTTCCTGTTCTTCTCCGGGCTGAAGATGCGTCCTGGATTTTCCATGTATCATCTCACCGATGAACTCTCTGACGGGACCGTGAGTTTGGCCCTTGGGGCTCCCCCCAGTTTGTTTGCATTTTGGGTTGGTACTGCTCCTCGGGCTCCGGGGTGGGAGGTTGACCCGGTGGGCCTGGTTGGGTGGAAGGGGGTTGGCCCCTATGGTTCTCTGGGTTCCTATGGGGAGGTTATCGCGGAGGTCCCTGCTCCTGGGACTTTTAGTTTCATTAAGTTTTACTACATTATATTATGTTTATTGCCTTTTTGCCCTCTGAGGGCTTCTGTTTTGATGTTTTCATTTGCAGCCATGTGTCCGGTGGTAGAGTTACCCCTAACTGTATCCTTCATGTGTAGGATGCACGTCACCATTGGTGTGACACAATTGCACTGTTATGTATACTTTTTGTGTCTTTTTTTCTTCTTTGTTCTTTTCTTTTTCTCTGTTTTTTTTTCGTTTTTGTTTTCTGCAGGGTTCCGGGACGCCATGGTCCGATCGCCATTGGGAGTGGAGATTGCTGGCTGCTTTGGGCTTTTTTCTGCTGAGCGTGTTGCGTTGGTACCGCCATGGCCTCGCCCCTTTTGAAAATACATTCACAAAATGTTCAAGGCTTCAGAAACGGGCTAAAGTTTTTCATCACCTCAAATCGCAACAAATTGATGTGGTATGTTTACAGGAGACCAGGTTTTCTCAGTCCTCCGCTCCGCGTTCTTTCACTTCACTATCCCATCTTTTACACGGCCTCGGCTCCTGAGAAGCGTCGGGGTGTTCTGATAGCTTTTAAACGCAATCTCCCCTTTGTCTGTTCTAGGCATATAGCGGACCCCCACGGGCAGGTATTTGCTTCTGCAAGGCACCCTCTGGGACCAGGAGGTTACCTTTGTCTCTTACTACGCGCCTAACCGTTTCCCAGCATAAATTCTTTTCGCATCTTTGCACCATTGTTTCTCGACATTCTAAGTGTCTTCTTCTTCTTATGGGGGATTCGAATGTTACCTTGGATTCCACATTGGATAGGCGCTACTCACGGGGAGCGACCCCCTCTCATGACTTGGTGCTAGAGGAACGTATGCGCTCTCTTTTGCGGACGGCGGGGCTAGCGGACGTCTGGAGGGAACTTCATCCAACTGAACGCGACTTTACGTTCTATTCCAATCCTCATGACAGTTTTTGTAGAATTGATCGTATATTCATGAAGGTCCAGCAGCTCCCCTCGGTCCAGCGGATAACTATTCCCTCCTCACCCTGGTCAGATCATGATCCTTTGGTACTCCTCCTTGCCCTTTCTGGGTCAAAACGGCGCCCTTTTCATTGGCGCATCAATGACTCTTTGCTGACCACTCAGGCTACCTGCCAACAAATAGAATTCTTTTTACGGACATACTTTGCGGAAAACTCTGGATCGGTCTCTTCACACAGTGCCCCTTTGGGAAGTGCATAAGGCCACGATGCGGGGTCATGTTATACAGCTGGCTGCAGTCCGGAAGCGGGAGAGCGGGAACGCCGACTCTTGGAGCTTCATTCTCTCCTGGCCTCTGCGGGATGCGCGTTGGAAGTCATCTCCATCCGTGGCCCATAAACGCGCTCGGGGACGCTCTGGTGACAGAATTGGACCTCCTTGCCTCTTTCGGAGGCGGAACGGGCCCTGCGTTGGACCAGACATAAATTTTTATTCCTGCGCTAATAAGCCCCGGGTCCCATGCTAGCCAGGAAACTCAATTCTGTGGGGAAGCCCCATAAACCGATTCGACTTCGACTTTCACAGGTGGCTGTACTTCTACTAAATCCCCAGCAGATTGTTTCCCGATTCTCGGACTCCTTTCGCGCCTCTATGCTGCCCCGGATCCTTTCCCTGTGGCCCAGGCAGAGGCATTCTTTCAAGACCTCCATCTTCCCGGATTAACCGAGGCAGCACAGGCGGCCCTCAAGCTGGTGCCACCGTACCGGAAGTGCTCCAAGCGATCAAATCTTTTACGGTCCACCGTGGCCGCCCAGGTCCGACGGGCTTCTCCGGTCTCTGTTATAAAAAAATTCTCAGCCCTATTGGCGCCCTTTTTAGCGGCCTAGTTCAATGAGTTACGATAGGGCTCTTTGCCCTCTCCGGACGCACTTAGGGCACATATCTCTATGATTCCTAAGACGACCGACGATGTCCAAGACCCACAAGCCTTCCGGCCCATTTCTCTTCTTAATGAAGACCTGAAGATATTGGGCAAGATCCTTAGTTTTTGCATCAATAAATGTTTGTGTAGCTTGGTCCACAGGGACCAAGTAGGGTTCGTCCCCAGGAGGCAGGCGGGTGATAACGTCGTCCGTAAGGTGGTCCATCCTTATACATTTTCTGCAACAACGGAAAAATCCCAGGATTCCTACTGTCCTTGGACATATATAAAGCTTTTGATTCTCTATCTTGGGAATATCTGTGGTTTGTGCTGTCTCTTGGGGTTTCGGGGGATTCTATTCTCTCTTGGATTCAGGTCTTGTTATTCCTTTCCTTCGGCCTCCGTTAAATACGCTGGGTATTTCTCGGATCCTTTCCTGTTGGGCGAGGGACGAGGCAGGGTTTTCCCGCTTTCCCTGGCGCTCTTTGCCCTAGCGCTTGAGCCACTGGCTTTAGCGCTCCGGATAACCGATTGCAATATATCGGGGGTTCCATATGCGGGACAGGAGTTTAAGCTGAGCCTCTTTGCGGACGATGCCCTCTTGACCCTTTACTAATCCTCTGACGACGCTTTCCTAAACTTGCAACGAGTTCTTGAGCGCTTCTCCTTGATTTCGGGTCTACGTATCAATTTGGATAAAACCGTCGCTCTCAATATTACTTTGGCTTTAGATTTGGTTTCGTGCCTACAAATCCCACTTCCCTTACCGGTGGGCTTCCCTCTTCTCTGGAATACTTGGTGCGTATTCGCTTGACCCTCACCTATGACTCCCTTTTTGCTGCAAATTATTATCCTTTGCTTAGCTCTTTATCTTCTCTTATGCATTCCTGGCAATTTCCGCACACCTGTCTTGG